AGACACGGGAAAGCCACCAGGCGGCCAGAGAGCTGGCAAGCCCGACTCGAGCAGTTTCGGCTCGGTTTCACGCCCCATCACCAGGAGGCATCAGCTGCTGCCAGCGATACTCACTGAAGAGCGTTATTTCTCTCACAAAACGGGGATGAAGGCCTCGCTGACACCGCCTGCGGCGGAGCTAACGGCACGCGGGCTGGCTGCTGCGGCTACACGATGCCTCAGGCACCGGCACACAGACCGCGCGGAGCCGGAGAAAGCCGGAGCGCTGCTGCCAAAAGGCCAAGAATCGATAATTAGAGCGCGTGATAGATTGATTCCACATCTCACCTCCGCCCAGCCAAGGAAACCGTGCTTAGTTTTGCCTAAAACAGCCTGAACCTGTGGCAGTTCCCGTGGGGCATCGCTACAGGCGCCGGGTGTCAGGCTGGGGGTTGCTGCCCCCCTCTCCTGCCGGCTTGGAGGCGCAGCAGAAGACAGAGGTGACGTTCTCCTCCGCTCCCGGCTCGGGAGAGCGCTGCCCCGGGGCGGGAGCAGAAAGCATCTGCTTGCTGGAGCTGGGGAAAGCAGCGCCAGTTCACGTGGGTTACTCGAGCCAGTTCAAGGCTTTACGGACCCATGTCAATGAGAGCTTTGTAATATCTGATGAGCAGAAAGCATTTTTTTTCTTTTCTTTTTGTTTTTTTTTAATTATCGTTTTTCGATGGGCAGTGCTTTAGTTTCTTTTAACAAGGCAGCGCAACACAGAAAGGGACTTTCTGTCCCTGCTAAAACCAAGACAAGGCAGACCAGAATAGATACGGCTGTTCTGGAGATTCAAGCATTGGAAATTCAGACATTCAAGTATCGAAAATTCAGACATTCAAGCATTGGAAATTCAGACATTCAAGCATTGGAAATTCAGACATTCAAGCATTGGAAATTCAGAAATCCAAGCATTGGAAATTCAGACATTCAAGCATCGGAAATTCAGACATTCAAGTATCGAAAATTCAGAAATCCAAGCATCGGAAATTCAGACATTCAAGCATCGGAAATTCAGACATTCAAGCACTGGAAATTCAGAAATCCAAGCATTGGAAATTCAGACATTCAAGTATCAAAAATTCAGACATTCAAGCACTGGAAATTCAGAAATTCAAGCATGGTTTTGATCAAGCACCCTATTACAAGTAACCTGATAAAGCCAGATTGAAGGGTCTGACAGATCCCACGTCAAGCTAGTCAATGCAATACCCCCAGGACAAATTCCAGCAGCAGCAGAGCTGACATCTGACAGTCAATTACTTGATGGAAAAGAAGTTTTTGTCCTGTTTTTAATGAAAAATCGTAAAGCGATGTTGCATTCTGCCATACACAAAAGAAGCTGACACCAAAATAATTCGCAATTAAAATGATGTCTTAGGTATTCTTTTCCTGGAAAATTATAGTCCCTTTTTCACCTGGGGCTAGAAGACCCTGCCTGCAGACAGGAGGTGCTTGCGGCCACCCGAAGATACCAGCTAAACCGGATCACTTCCGAGGGCACAGAGCACCCTTCCACCCGCAACAGATCAACATCCAGAAGCCAAGGAGAAATGGCCTCTCCAGCCACTGAAAGGTGACAAAATGAGGTACAGGAGAGCCCGAGGCTTCTCTAGAACAAGTCCACTCCCTCCACCAGCACCCCCAGCTACTCTCCTCCTCCACTCGGAGCTAATCCTTCACTTCAACACAACCGTATTTCGATAAAGCTGTTCAATGCGGCAAAACAGCCGAAAGTAAAATCTTCCTCCTCTATCTTCCCACTTCGGCTCCAGGACTATTCCAGTGGGTGTCTTGGCATTGCTGAGAGACAGAATGGGTGGGGAAAAAAAATTTTAACAGGAAAAACCAACAGAAAACCCTGTTGCTCTGATAACGCCTGGAGCGCGCCCGTAGCTCTTCACGTTACGCTGCTCCCCACCAGCGACTCCGTGTCGTGGACAGTCTCCTCCCGAGGCTCCTGTTCAAGCAGAACACAAGCTTTTTTGGGCAGCCAGATGTTCCGTATTAGCCCGGATCACAGGAGGTGCTGGAGGAGCAGCAATGCCTCCCCGATGAGGGAACACAGGTTCTGACTATCCGTGAAACCCAGCTGTCCCCCAGCCCCGCCGTACGCTGTTTTTCCAGCTGCGTGCCACCTTTTTGGGAAGGCGCGCAAAAAAGAACTGCAGCACCGCCTCCTGTGAAACGGGGTTTGGAGCCAACAGGGCAGGCGGGTCTTCCAGCAAACGCTCTTTGCCCGAATATTCACATTTGGATCAATATATGGGGCTGGTGAATAATAAGCCAAAGAGTTGAGGGGGGGAGGGTGGGCAGGGGAGGACGTTGCGGCTGGAATCGGGCCCGTAAAGGAAACCAACACAAAGGAGCCGTTAAGAGAAGACACACGAGAGATGAGCGATACTCATCAGCTTTATTTTATAAATACAGATGAGCTTTCCTGCAGTTACCAACGTAGTTTTAACGTGTCACTTCCTATTCGATATTCGGGTTGTGCTGATTTTAAATGCCTGGCCAAGCAAGGACAAGCCAATGCTGTTGTGCTCGCTATAAAAATAGAGTGGGATATGATCTTCCAAAACTAATATTCTCAAAAATCTCAGGAATTCCTAGTGAGGGGAAGAGATGGCAACGAAATGTTTTCTCCACTTGAAGACATTTGCAGACGTTTAACAGCGTCACAGCGGCGCAGGCACTGACAGGCTCTTGACAGGTTGAAGCACGCTGTGATAGATCATCTCGCCTTCAAACCTGCTCTTTGTTTCTCTCCCACCACGCTGTTTTCTAAGTAGTTTAGGGGGAAGGGGGGAATAATCACAAAATCCACGAAGGGGGGTCTGTACGACCCCCCCGCCCCCCCATCCCCGCAGCAAGAAGTTTGCCGAGGAGCCCGAGGGTGCCGTCCCAATTCGCGCCACCTTCGCGACAGACAGACGTGGGGACAACTTAAGGCCTCCTCAGGACACATCCACCTCCAAGGACACCCAGAAATCGTGCGACAGAAATCAACCGTCGCGTT